TATGAAAAGGTAAGAGGAAAAATAAAGCAAAAGAGGGCTGCAAAAAATAAATGGTAAGGGCAAGGAAATCAACAGCACAAATATTGAATCAGGGATAAAATAGTTTATCCATGTATTAAAAACAGCTCCAGCGAACAAGGAAAATTCTAAAGAATACCTTCCCACCTACAGGATATGTGTTTGGTTGCAAATGTCTAAGTGAGAAAACAGAAACTTGGATGCCAGTGTCTTCGAGTAACATTTCTTTCTTCAGGGGAGGTGTAACAGCTTCTCCCACCTGTCTGTGTGGGTGTGTGTCTATATACATCGAGATGTACACGGTCCACAGACTGCAGGTCACATTGAGCCACGCCACATTCCCGCCAGCCAGCACTGCAACTGAAATTGCCATGTGGTAGGAAGGGAGAAACTTCCTAGACTAAGGTTTGCAGGGAGGAGATGGTCCCACCCAGTGCTGGGGGTCTGGCTCACATGCTGCACCAGAGCAGAGCAGAACCACAGCAGGTGCAAAAGGGGTGTCCCACCCCTGAATGCATCCATCAAGTGGCAGTCTCCAGGTATGGTGGGACTGACTGAACCCAGGGATCTCTGGCTATTTGCCCTGAAAAGCAACCAAGCCGGTGTACTCCCACCTGCTCCTTGTCACAGCACCCAGGCTATTGTCCTTCACAGCAGCTCATGATGCTCTACTCCATGACCACCAGGGTTTTCTAGGAAGCATTTTCATGCAACACTCATTCCTGGCAGAATCATGCTTGTGATTGCCTAACTCTGGAGTCCTGAAGGCAACAAGTCACTTAAATTACCTCCTATCTGGATGAGGAAACAGACAGCTGGCAGCGGAAAATGTGTTTGTAAGGCCTCATCCTTCCCTGGGGCACTACTCATTTCTCCCTAAGTGTTGACTTAATTTACTGAAAGCAATTAGGGTCCCAAAACAGAAGCCCTGGCTGCTGTTCAGACATTGCACACTTCTGGTCACAGTGCCAAGAAGAGCTGTCCAACTCTCACCTCTCACAGCAAAACCAAGAGATGCTCTGCTTGTGCCAGGGGAGGACCCGAGCTGCTCACACGGCCGAGCCCCAGCCCCGACTCTTCACAGGTTCATAGTGACCTCTGAGCCAAGTGAGACTGAGCAACAGGTTCAAAATGTACAAAAAGTGGTAGCACCGTCTACAGTGCCCCACCTACTACCACTCTTTGCAGCCTTTCCCTCTTGCTTACTTCCATTGTCATGGATTCATCCCCTCGGGTGCAGTGGGGCCTCTGTGTCGTGCAAAACCTGTGCAGGGCTAAGCAGGGTGTGCATCATCTCCCCCCAGCAAAACGGGAGTGGGAGGCCCCACCCAGGAGTTCCCCAGGCTTTAACCTAGCACCAGCAATCCCTCAGGACTTCAGGGGCATGAAGGGAGCTGCTTAGGAAATCTTGGCAATTAATACAGCCACTCACAGACACCCTTCCTTAAACCTCAAGGGAAAATTGAAACAACTAATAATGTTATTGAAATTTTTGGCCAGAAACCAAAAAACTTAGTTGGAGAGTGAATAGCATGGCTGGCTGGTTGGCTGCTCCCAGGGCAAGCCATCTCCTGTGTATGCCAAGTGCTGCTACTGGCCATGGGTCACTGTGGTGCTGCACACAGCCACGGGACAGAGTAACACAAGGTCCAGGCTTCCTGGTCATCCCTCTGGGCAGCCCATGCTGGGGTGCTGCAGCTTGACTGGGAGCCATCGGTAACACTGTACCCACCTGGCTATCTCCTCAACCAGCAAAGGCTCAAGTTCACAAAGCACTTCACTACTGTGGAGTCTTTCTCCTTTGACAAATTTGTTTTCAGGCTATGAATGCAAGTGTCCGTTATGGTTTCTTTGGTTAGAATACAAGCCTCTGGCAGCCTAGGTTTGCATGGTGCCTCAAGGAGGAACCTCCTTTCTGTGGCACAGCAGGATTTAAAGGGAACTACTAAACATGGAGGCAGAAGGTCAAACCAGTTTCCAGTTTTAGATGGCGGTGATCATGAAATTGGCCCCTAGGTCACAGGAAATCCATCCATCTGCCCAGACGGGATGGCCACCAACACTAGATTGAGTCACTTAAGGTTTTGTCTAGCTGAGTCTTGAAAACTTCCTCTGCTGCCTGTGTAGGCAGCTAACCTCCTAGTGACGTTTTTTCCCTTGATGGCCAGCTTGAAAGTCCTAAGACAGAACCTGTGCCTGTTGCCTTGTTTAGTTAGTACTGGTCGTTTCTATGTTGCCTCTCTAACTCCTTTCCAAAGCTAATTGCATCAGCCTGAGCTTTCCTTTTCACCAATCAGCCCACATGCCTCAGCCTCTCCTCCTAGGCCCCTGCCATCTTGGAATCTTTGAACCAGACCAGTTTCCTACAGACCTCTTGAATCTGGGGGTCCAGCCTTAGAAAAAACACTCCAGGTAGAAACACTGACAATGTCAGGACTCTGAGAGCACCACTGGGACTGGCTGTCCCTGCCCAACTCACAGGGCTTCCCCCTCCTCCCTGCCCATGCCAGGACCCCATTACAGATTTTACAAGCAAGTTGCTGATCTTTGTTTTTTTGGTGTTAAAGTATCTAGAAAGAGACTTGCCTTGGAAAGGGCACTGCAACACTCAGCCCAACAACCATCTGCCTAAAACTAGAAGGTGTTGTTTTACAGTCTAAAGTCCTTTGTTCCATCCACAGAAAGGACAACATTTTTACGAATGTTGTCTTCCTCAATAATTTCCATTAAAAGTCATGCGGTACAACACTCCACACACTTGATTTTTAGGGTCAGAGCCCTGGTTATCCTGGGAAGGCTTTTACCACTGACCTGAGCTCACCCCAGATTTTTCTCCAAGACCAAATGAGCTGCAGGTGTCACACCACTTGCTGTGGATAAGTGCCCGTGTTGTGCGACTTCCCTCTGCACCTCTCAGATCCCCAAAATGAAGGTTTGCTGCTATTCTTCTGCAGAAGACCACCCAAACATGTCAGGTTTAGTACCCATTTATTCCTAATTTCATGTTTTTTTTCTGTGCCAGACAAGGTCAGAGCCACTCTTCTGGCATGTTGTGTCACAGAACCTTCTTCTTTGAAAACACCCCACTGATTGCAAGATTGTGTAATTATGTGGTTGTGTGGGACACTCTTGCAATGTGATCGTTTAAGGTTTCTGAAGGATCAACAGAGGGCACTGAGTCAAATTCCTTGAAAACTCTGAATACACCAAACTCAGCAGAACAATCTACCAAACTTATTTATTGCATCTACTTCACATAATTATCACCTGGGCAAGCATACTATCCTTCAAGTGATTTCAATATATGTTGTGACTGAGATGCTGTACAAACTTTCAGTGACTCCTTGTCAATGACAACAGGGACATTTAAAAGTTTTTATGTGTATTTCCTTATCTAATCAGTCAAATTGAGATTTAAGGTTCAACTGAAACTATTATTTCATTTGGCTTTGTTCCTTGTAAAGATATACGACACATTGTTTACCTTAGAATACAATACTCCTGGACCTTGTTTATACAACAGATTTTTCTAATGCTTCCCACCATTAATTCAAGTACTCTTATTTGAATCTTCCTGAGTGTTACTGTGAGCCTTCCTGTTAACCATGCACCTACTTCTTCTACTCTTTAAAAGTATGACATGGTATGGCTGTGCCTGATGACGAACAAGATACTGAAAAACCAAGTGTTGTGTTTGAGAATGAGAGGCAGGTGCAGGAAAGACTCATTACACTGAGTAATTAGCACTTAGTAATTACACATTGCACTTGGGAGGTGAGAGAATCACGGAATGGTTTGTATTGAAAGGGACCTTAAAGATCATCTATTTCCAAACACCTTGCCAGGAGCAGGGATACCTTCCACTAGACCAGGCTGCCCAGAGCTCCATCCAGCCTGGCCTTGAATAGTGCCTGGGATGGAGCACCCACAGCTCCTCTGGGAAACGTGCTCCAGTGAAGATTTCTTTCCACCTGTCCTAAATTTACCTTCTTACAGTTTGTACCCATTATTCCTCATCCTATCACTGCAATTCCTGATGAAGAGTCCCTCTCTGGCTTCCCTGTAGGCCCCCTTCAGATACTGGAAGGTTGCCAGGAGGTCTCCATGCAACCTTCTCTTCTCCAGGCTGAACACCCCCAACTTCCCCAGTCTGCCTTCATAGGGCAGGTGCTCCAGTCCTCTTATCAATTTCATGGCCTCCTAGACTTGCTCCAACAGTTACATGTTCTTTCTGTGTCAGGGGCACCAGGGGTCTCATGAGAGCAGAGCACAGACACAGAATCACCTCCCTGCACCTGCTGGCCATGTTCCTTTAGATGCAGCCCAGGATTTGTTTGGCTTTCTGGGCTGCCAGTCCACACTGCTGGCTCATGTTGAGTTTCTGGTCAGCCACCACCCATAAGTCCTTCTCCACAAGGCTGCTGTAAATCATGTCTGTGCCCAAGTTGCAGGGGTGCCTGGGATCAAATCCAGGTCTCCAATTTAGAGACAAAGACATCGTGCAGGACAGTATCCAATGCTTTGCATAAGCCCAGTCAGACAACATCCATGGCTCTGCCCCTATCCATCAGTGCTGTAGATACAGCATTGTGTTCCTGTGAGATGTGCACCCAGAAGAGTATTTTGCCTGAATTTGAGTGGAACATGTGCTCAAGACTTGTCTCTAGCAATACCTCGCCTCAACTGAGCAAAAACTCCACGCAAGTACACTGCTGTAGTTCCCACATAAAAATAACCCACCTTCCACCCCAGTAAACCAAGGTCCTGGAGTTGGCCGTAGTCTTCAGCCACCTTAAAAGGTCCACCACATCTGAACCCCTCTTCAAACTAGTCTCACATTGATTTTTTTTGTGTGTGTGGTCTAAAATATCTGTAAATAAAAAAATTCAGCCACTGAGCTTTGGACAGAGTTTTATTTTGGAAATCCCCCTTTTTTTATTACCTTCAGCCACATTTTGGATGATCCCACATGAATGGTTTACCAGAAGTGCACTGCTTTGCCACACAGTGATTGCAGTTTTTCTTGTAGCCCTGTCCCTACTGGCAGACATGGCCAAACTGTGTACACAAGAGGGGTGGGATTCTGCCATTAAATAAACCCTACTTAGTAATGTTTTCTTCCCATGGGAACTGGAGGAAAACTTCTTCCGTTCCCACCTTCAAGTATTTATGAGAGAATTTACAGCCCTGGTTTATCTTGGTTTATCCACCTTAAAGTGAGCATCACCAAGTAAAGTGCTGCTCACACCTTCTGGACACCTTCCACTCCTGAACAAACACCTCCTAAACCTTGAACTCCAACAATGACCGTAATAAAAAAATACCAGTTTTGAGATAGTCCAGGTTAAAAAGCTTTCCAAATGGTTTATTAGGAAATGGTGCAACAGCCAAATTAACCAGAGAGCCTGGTCCTGCTACTGCTGTTTCCATGAAAGCAGACATGGCTTACAGCTGTCTGAGGATTAATAACAAGGGAAAATAAATCAGGTTTCAATAATCTTGCATCATGTATGAAGATCTAAGGAGACCTGATGTACTTAGAAATACATGGTTCCTGGCTGTTATGTCTGCAGACCTATGAGGGATGCTGGGTCCCTGTGTCAGGTCCCAGCTTCCCAGGCAATTGGATGCATCCCACCCTCCCACTGCTGCCACCCAGAGAGCTCCCCGGGTGCAAAGACCCACGGTGGCAGGTAGGGAAGGCACACAGAGCACTCTGCCCTCTCCCCCACCACATGTCCAGCTCCCCTCTTTGATGGGAAGACTTGAGAGTACTTGAGGGGAGAGGCAAAGACTACTCCTCTTGGGACATGGCTGCCAGATGTGGTGAGGTAGAATGGCAGGGAATGGAGAAAATGGCTCCTGGCCTCTTCTGATTCAAATAAGAAAAAGGCACAAACCAACTTTAGTGGCATTTCCATCCACAAATCTATTTTACACTTGACCCGGCGCAGATCTGCCAGTCATGATAGACCTGACAGGTTCTGTTACAGACGCTCACAGAAATGTGTCCTTAGGTTTTCTGCACATGCCAGAACAGTGACTCACCTTCTGTCGTTACAAGATGACAGAGACAACCTGGCAAGCCCAGAGCAAATAAGTGATATCACCAGCATGATGCATACATTTACAGGCATCATTGTATTTCTTAATTAGGATTCCAAATGAAAAATTTCCAAGGGGAAAAAAAAAAAGTGGGCAGGGGAATGAAGCCGATACTTTTAAAATGATGATTTCTGACACATTCACCAAACTGACACCTGAACACTGAATAGTCACTGATGCAAAATTTAGCAGATACCTGGATGCCAGTGATTTGGTTGATCACATCACATGAATGGGAGTAAGTTAGGTGAAACATAGAGAACTGGAATAAGCATCATCTGGAGGTGTAGAAAAAACATGGCTTGAGAAACTCCCTTTTACCAAACATTAAAGCAATTGTAAACTTGAGTGAGGACAGGGGATATGTTGAACACAGAGACTCAAAGTGAAAGCAGGTTGCCTGTTGAATTGTCCCAAAATTACTTTGACCTACACAAGGCAGGAATGGTGATCAAAACCCAATTCTGGGTAAGGGTTTAAAGGAAAGAGAAGCAACCTTACAGTGAGTAACATGTCAGGAATGGAAGTGAAAATTCCAGATGTCAGATACAAATGGCAAATTAAAAGGTCTAAGTGACTGATAGAGGAAGCTGAAGGAACTAATGAAAGTCTCCACAGCCTTACAGGTAGCAGTGGGCACAGGTCCATTTGAAGAGACAGCAAGTCAGGAACAGCAGAGCAGAAATAACAGCTGTCTTCAGCATCTAATTCTGACTGCTTTTCTACTTTGGGATAGGTCCTTTCATGGAAAAATACTGATGCACAAGCACCTTCCACAGCCACCATGTTTACTTTCAGCATTCCCCAAACTGGGAAAGCTCTACAGCCACAGGGTGTGAAGAGGAGGAGTGGCTGATAAGCCTCTGGCCCTGGGGTCACAATACTGACTCAGAGCTGACCAGCTCCCTCTGAGGCTGTCACTGCCACCACACCACCACCGGGAAAGATGTGATTTTGCAAGTCAGCAGATGAGCAGTGAGCAGGGGTTAGCAGCTCGGTAGCTGACATGTTCGGAGGCCGGTGGGGACTGGGGATGCTGTCATGAGATAGGCTGGAGAGGAGTGGCATGGCACTGTGACCCCTCCAGCAGCTATCAGTCCTTCTTCTCTGCTGGGACCTGTACCAGCTGGGGTGCAGCCGTGTGCAGCAGTATGAGCCCGCAGACTGTCATGGCGAGGCCGACCCACCACAGAAGCGTCCACGTCTCCCCGAAGAGCACTTTTCCCAGGATAGCCTGAAGGAAAAGAGAGACACAAAGTTTTGCTGGCCTGAGCTGCCCCAAGGCCTCTTGTGCTGCCAGAGCTGTGAGGACTTCTGGGAGAGACAGCCCTGGAAAAAACCTGGTTGAGGAAACTCCTTCTGGGATAACCAACAGGAATGGCTGCTGAAGGTGATGCTGGAAATGACTTCCACCAGCCTGGAAGCACAGCCATATTGTGGTCCCAAAGCAGGATATGGCAGATGTGCATGTGCTTTGCTGCCTTCCCAGCACTTCTCAGGAGCCAAATCTCCCACTGACTGGGCATTTATTATTATTGTCAATTATTTGACACCACCAGGAGCGGTCTGCCAGCTGGAGCACAGAAACAAGGTGGACTGCTGCCGAGAGTGAAAAGCAATTGGAAAAAACCTGTGGGTCAAATACTCTTGCTGTCACTAGAGGTGATGCATCTTCACACCCAGCTAGGGTGACTCTGGCTTGTCACAAGTGAGGCACAGCAACGGAAAAGCAAAATGAAGCAAAGCTCCCAGCTCCAACTCCCACTGGCAATTAGAAAAGTTCAGTAGCCTGTGTTGCTGCTGCAAGGCATCAGGCTGGGCAGCAGCACCCTTCCTCCTGCGCCACCCAGGAAAGTTCCACCACCTGTGCCATGAACAACAATCAGAGCAGCTGAGGCCTGACACAATCATTTCACATCTGCCTGTAACTCTCCCTTTGTGGCCAGCGATGCTGGTTGCACTGGGAGGTGAGCTACAACCAGTGTGGGCATTCCCACCTTGCCTTGCTCCTCAGGATTCAGTGGCTGAGGAAAGGATGTACTCACTGAAGAGATGAAGTTGGAGGCTGTTGTTGTCACAGAGGCAGCAGCTGAGGAGGAGGAGAGTCGTAACGCTCTTGTGAAGACTGTCCACATCACTGCATTGCACACAAACACCAGGCCAACACAGCTGAGGCGAAGCAACACTGGCAGCTGCAGAACAAAATGACAAACTCTGTATTTTCACCCTCCACACACTCAACATCAATAATTCATGGGCACTTTGGAGCCAAACCTAATGGTGTGGGCTTTTAAAACTAAATTACAGCTTGTATTACACAAAGATGAATATATTAAATCACAGAAGGAAATGGAAACGAGGAAAGAGCTCTGGACACACTGTGAGCCTGCCATGTCCTGCTGCATGCCCAGCCTCACACTACAAGCTGTGAAGTGCTGGAATAATGTGCAGCAGCTACCATGCCAGCAGCAGAAAGCTCTCCAGCTCACAACGTGGTGCCACACACAACGCAAATAAATACCCTTCACTTACCACGTGATGAATGGAAAAGGGTCAAATTCAGTCTGACAAACACCAGAGATGTACATTCTGGCACTGTACATACTCCAGAACCCAACTGCTGTGAATGTGAGCCAAGACTGGGGTGGCCCCAAAGCACTCATCCTTATGAGCTCCAAGGACCTCGCCTGCCCTACTACTGCAGTGAGGGTAGAGCAGGATCTCTGGGAGGAAAGGAAGAGCTGAGTGGCTTCATGCCTGGTTTTGCACACTCCCTGGAGAGTAGTGAGATTTACTGAGGGGTCTCTGCTCTAGCATTTAGTAGCAATAAAACCAATCCTGAATTCAAGGGCCTCAGGAAAGATCTCCCTCCTTAGACAGCCTGACCAGATGTGTAACTGCCTCAGTCTGAAAAAACGGCACAGTTGCACCTAAAAAGCCTGGACTATTTACAGTGCCTCCCACACTTTCTTAATTTAAGCAGCTGAGGTCATCTTCCCAGCCCCTGGGTACCACGTAGTTGATGTGAAGACACCAAGGGAGATCACAGGCAGGCAGATCACAACTCTTACAAACACTGACAAGTGAAAGCAAAGCTTTGTCTAAACCCATAGCAATCACAGCTTCATAGCCTGTCAGTCCATGGTGGGATTCATCTTGAGGCAGACAGAAATGCAGGTTTGAGGCCACCAACAAGTACAGCTCAAAAGTGACACCTGCCCTGTGGGAATGGCTGCAGTGTCCTCCTGCCAGCTGCCCAAATCAATGGGATCCACCAACTGTGTCCTGTCCCACTCAGAAGATATGACTAATTGCATACACAGGCAAGCCCACAGTTTTCTGAAGCAAGTGTTATGGCAAGCACAAAGTTAAAAGGAAAACAATGTAAAGCAAATCCCTGCTCAATGGCTGGCACAAGCTCTCTGAGGCTAATCTCACTCCATTGAGGGATGGTGCAGGTGTGTGGCCTCATTTTGCCCCACTTGTGGTAAAAGTCTCAAACTTCTGCAACTGATCAGGGCAACAGTAAAGATTCAGAATGATTCTGATCTGTGAATCACTTTGTTTTCCCACTGACACCCTGGTAAACCCTGTGTGGATGGGTAAGAGGGACAACCACGTCCAGCCACAACCACTCCTTTTGAGGAAGAAAACTTGTGTTAGGGCTCACCACAGGATGGGGTTTGCCTCCCAGTTTCACCCTTTGCCTGTATGACCTAGCAATTTTACTCTCCTCCGAGAGTCATGTACATTCACACCCCTCCAGTGAGTAAGCAGACTTGGGAGTAGGGATGAGAGGGGAAAATTCTCCGTGTTTCACCTAACTTCAGTGTATTTCTGTATCAGAAAGAGACCATGCTGCTGAGGTAAAAAAAAAGGCCTTAAGAAACCTTGTTACTGCCTTCAACCATTATCCGGAGGGTGGAGAGGGATGAAGCCCAGGCTCTTCTCCAAGGTCCATTTGGATACAAGAGCAACAAGTAAAATTTGGAACAAAACTGTTATGAGGAAAAGCAAATGTGAACAAGCACTGGAACAGAAGTCATGGGCTTTCCAACCTTCTAAGTATTTAAAACTTAACTGGAGAAGGTCACGTGTAAGCAGAGGTTGAACTGGAGACCTCCAGAGACCTTGCCAGACTTGAGCTAGTCTGAGACTACCAGTGGTGAAGGAAAGCTGGCTCCTCCCATCATCACAGCAACTATGCCACCTCTGAAAGTGACCTGGAACCCATGGCTGCTTCTGATCTCCTAATGCAGAGCCAGGGGAATCAGCAGCAGGTGGCACATGCCCCGAAGGAAGGTTTATCAGAGAAAGGTCAAGTTCCTCTGTGCCCAGGGCAGCAGAGTGGTCATCGCAATGCCACACAGACAGAGAGACAGGAACATCCTCATGTGCTCCCCACAAGGAAGGAGGGAGATAAATTCCTCCCCTGCTAAGGGCTCAGCTGAGCCACCCCAATGAGTCAAGGATTACTGTTCTGATTGCTTTTCTAAGCAAAGATTAATTTCAGTGTACATTTCAGATAATCCAGAATCACTCCTGAAGTGGCAGAAGTAATTTTAGATGAAGACTGGCAGGGGAGCGGAGAAAGCAAAGAGCTTTTGTTCAAGTGCAGTGACCCTTCCTGGTCAGGTCACTCTCAGGCTGGGCCACCACAACACAAACTTCTGGCCAGGAAATCCATCCCTGTGGTGCAGTGGAGTATCCTGCTACCCTGCATCATCAGCTCTTAGAAGTGTCAATACACTTTTTGCTGCTGTGTTCCACGCTGCACAAGTGATGGCTGCCATTAGACGTATTTTGGGATTTCTGTAGCTCTTCCTCCAACACAAAACCCACTGAATTTCTGTCCCCTCATAGCTGCTCTGCAGATATGCCTTTGCCACATGTGTGTGGGATTCAAGGGGAGCTCTCTGAAACATATATGCAGCTACAATCCCATGCAATTTAAGATACTAGAAAGATTATGGCATTTACACAAAACTTGGCTAGTTTTACAGCTAAGCTGATTAATTTACTTAGTAACTGTCACCTGGAATGGATCTGAAAACTCAAAGAAACCAATCTGCCCAGAAAAAAGAAACAGTCACAGAATCACAGCATGGATGAGGCTGAAAAGCACCTCTGGAGCTCATCTGGTCCAACCTCATTACTCTAGCAGATTTCTCAGGTCTGTGTCCAGACACTATTTGATTATCTCCAAGGAGGGAGACTACCACATCCTTGGGCAACCTGGGACTGTGCCTGGTCACCCTCACAGTGAAAACATGTTTCTGGATGTTCAGAGGGAACTGCTCATTTTAGCATGAGCCCTTTGCCTCTGGAATGACCCTGGCTTCATCCTTTGTGCACCTTCCCTGCAGGAATTTCTACACATTGAAAAGATCCCCCTGAACCTTCTCTTCTCCAGGATTAACAGTCTGAGCTCTTTCAGACTCTCCTCATGATAGAGATGCTCTGTTTCCTTCATCATCTTTATGACCCTTTGCTGGACTCTCCAGTAGCTCCATCTCTTTTCTGCATTGGAGAGCTCAGAACTGGACCCAAAACTCCATGAGTGGCCTCATTAGGGGTAAGTAGAGGGGAAGGATCATCAACCTTGACCTTCTGGCAACAGTCTACATCCAATGACGTGAAATTTTGTCATGGCACTTAAAAAAAAAAGTTCCCCTAAACAAATGGGCAATATTTTAATAAATTTCAATACAGAAAAATACTCAGAAAAGATGGTATCAGCATTTTCAGTAATTCCATGCTCTGCCATTCTGTCAGTACAGAGCACAGTTTAGGTATTTTTGGGGAAGAGTATCAGGATTTTTTTTTTAATTTTTAATTCTCCTTTCTACCACCCTGAGATATCAGAAAGGATCAACAGGATTGGCAGGTATTGACTTTTTGCCTTTTTAACCCTAATAATTACACAGGTTAGTTTTTTGGTTTGTTTTTTTTTTTCCCCTGGTGCAGGGCTGGGTTTGTTTCAGTTCTTAGTTTCCCTTGTGGGTTCCGTTTTGGATTTCAAATCCAAACGTACATTTGCCATGTGAGTAACAACCTATGCCTAAATGAATCTCCGCACAGTGCTTTTAGGATACATGTAAGCCGCTTTCCTCCTCTGCCCACTCACACACAACCTCGTGCCCATCTCCACCTCTGCCGTGGCTGTGCCAGAGGTCAGTCCTGGAGGCAAGGACACTATTCTGAGGTGAAGGGCCAGCAGTCCCACGTAACCTCATGCACACGGAGGTTTGGGAAACACGACCGAGATGAAGATCATCACCAACGAGCACCCGAAGAGAAGCACAGTGGCAATCAAGGGCTCCTCCCCTCTGCTCTGGTCAGGGCCGAGCAGAGATAAAAGAAAAGGGAGAAGGGCGCTGCTATCAGCAAAACGGCGGCCTGAGAACAAGCATTTGATGCTCAGTCACACTAACATCCTGCTTTAAAGTACCACTGACGTAGAAAGACTGCAAACGGGCTCCCAGAGCTGGGCTTGGTTCGGGGCATTCCCACACCTCGCTGGTTCTCCTCACACCCGGCAGCCCCGCTGCGCTCTCCCCGCCGTTTGCGTCGGCACCGCGCATTAGTCAGCCCTGCAAGGCTGGGCTCCCCCAGGGCTGAGTCACGGCTCCGCTGCCCGAGACCGCCCCCCTTTCCCTGCAAATCCAGGGCAGCCCCTGGGCGCGCCGCAGGAAAAACAGCGCGCTCCTTCCCCTCTACCGCCGCCATCAGCAGCGCAGGCCCTGGGGCGGCCGCATGGGAACTCGGGGCGCCCGGCACCGCCCGCCTCCTTCCTTACCGGGCCGCCGGCCGCCTCCCCGCCCGGGCCTAGCGCCAGCTTCGCCGCGGCGCCCGCCGCCGCCCCCAGCACCCCCGCGGCCACCGCCGCCCCGGCCCCCGCCCGCATGGCCCGGCCCGGCCCGGCGCTGAGGGCCCCGCGCAGCGGCAGCGCCGCCCCGCGCGCGGGCGGGCCCTTCCCGGGGAGCGGGCGGGAAGCGAGGGGAGGGCACGGGGGCCGTGTTCGCTTATCTACAAAGGCTTTATTGAAACAAACAGGAAAGCACGGAGCAGGAGAATAACGGCGCTCCTGCTGTGGCCGCGTACAACACAGAAAAAGGGCAGAAGCCTCTGCTGACATGAAAATAGTCCAGAAATAGATAGGCAAGGACCACATGTAAACCTAAAACATGGCAGTCACAAATAAAAGCACCCTTGCTAAATCCCTCTTGGACTGTGTGCACCTCATCCGTCCTAGTTCTGACCTCGACTCATACCCCAATACCTTTTCCCGTTAAGGCAAACTTTTTATTTCTATACTTCACAGGGCAAGTGGGAACAAATCCGCAACTTAGGAATTCATAGATAAGGTGGTGCAAATTCTTTTTCCCCTCAGCCAACAAATGTAGAGTCATTAGTTATAGTCCTGCCCTTTACCAGACACATCTTTCCTCTTTATTCCCTTTTGCCCCAGCGTGTGTGGTCAAAACTAGTATTGCAGGAATTAGCCAGAAAACAGAACGATAGGATTAGTGGCTGATCAAAGCCTAGTTTGATATTGCTATAGAAATCAACATTTTTGCGTTCCACTACTAAACATTTGAGTTATTTGCAAGAAATCTTTAAGTGAGATTAAATGAGCTTATGCTGTACTCCCCTAAAACATGAAAACATGCAGAACATTTTATTTCCTAACATTTTTCACTTCTTTGATAAGAAAATGGTTGCAAAATACTTAGAATTTCCTACAGTGATAATACAGAGCTCTAAGTCTATACTAACAGCAAAAAGGATTGAAAAGCATTTTATTTTCAAATAAAGAACAGAAAACAAAAATGTATTTATAGTGCTATTTACAATCCCATTACTAAATTCACATTTACGCTTTATTGAACAAAGTTCAATATGAAAATTATTTTTAAGCAACCCAGGAAAATCATCCTATGTTTAACTAAAGAAATAAAAACAAAGAAATTGTGCTTTTTGAATTTTGGCTCTGATGGAAAATGAGGCATTTCAGAAGAGGTAGGAACCTGAATAAAAGCACAAAAGGAGACAAAAATCCAGGTCTGTTCCCAGTGAGAAAGCTTTTCCTTGGCAAGGTACAGAAGTTTCAAGGAAGTATCTAACCAGCACCTATACAAAATCAGATTTTTAAATTGAAAAATTACAAAATGGTGTTAAAATGTCATTGGAAGCTGCCCACAGAGCTGGAATAACAATCTTCACTTAAGAGTTATTACCAGCAAAAAAGGTACAAACTAAATTTGATTATTCCAGAACCACAGTAAAAGTCAAATTTGACAAGTGACTTTTGCTTATTCTGTACACTTTAAAAACATGTCTCTGCAATTTTAGTTGGGTCATTACAGCTGATCATAATGTCTACAAATGTCACATTTTTTTGATTCTTTCAAAAAAGCGTTTTCAACTCGTAGTTTTTCAGTCTCCTGTAAAACAGAGAAAAAACATGGGAATATTAAGGCAGCAATCCTCACTTTTTTATTATTTTTTACACAAGCAATATCTAGAGTTGTTCAAGTATTTTATACACTATATACTTGAGGAAATAAAATGGAGATCCTTTTCTGGGGCCTGTGAGAAGACACACCAGCCATGACATTCAGCTGCATAAAAGCAAAGGTATCTCTGTTTCTCTCCAGCAGAAGATCAGGAATTTTAGTTGTCATTCTCAAAGCTTACCTCTTTCCTATGTCAGGCCATTACTTCATCTGTGATATACTCTGCAGCTTACCTCTGTAAGTTTAGCATTATCTTTCTTCAGTTTCACAAGATACTGAATCTTCTGGTTTAGGTTTTGATGACCAAGTAATTTCCCATTCTCCTCAGCAAGCGAGTCAACTTGCTTTCTCAGCAATTCTACTTCCTGTAATAATAAATCAATTGTGTACCTCTTAGCAGTAGCCTCTCCTTCTCTTTTCAGAAGTAATAGCGACTTAGAGCTATTAACATACTAACATTTAAGTTTGTTGTAACATATGATGCAAGAGCTGGTTCATTCAGGAAATACATACTTGTCTTATGTCTCCTTAGACACTGTGTTAGATCTCTCTAAAGGGCAAAAAAGGAGCACCATTTAATTTGTACTACTAAGTAATTGCTGTATCCAGACTTTCACTAGTGCAGAGAACATCACAAATACAACTAAACTGCAAAACAAAACAGCTGTACCTCTGCTAAATTAGATTCTGCTGTGAAGATGACAAAAAATTTACGTATATGTAACCTTTTCTATCCTCTCTCTTTCTTCATATGCTTCCTCCAGTTTTGATCTAATTTCTTCTTTCTCATTAAATGCTTTGAGCTCCAAAGTCCTTGTTCGTTCCATCTCCAGAGTAATTTCATGACAGGTATTCTTTTGGATTCTGAGGATATTTTTGGTCTCCTCCAATCTGCCAATATAAAATAATCATAAAAGGTTAAAAACCAACATAAATGTCATACAGCTAAATTACTAAGTCAGTCTTGGACATGAAGGGAGGCTCCTTTAAAAGCATTATTTTGAGATATTGTATCCCCCTTAGAATTTAGTGCTAAAGACAAGAAAAATTTCATTCTGCTTCACAGTTTTGTATTTCTATCTACTATCAACTGAATATCAACTAGGCAGTGTTTTGGAGCTGCTTTTCTCTTTGGGAACTGTTCTGTTGCGATCCAGGATATACAACTCCGTTCAACCTTCACCTTGAGAACAGAGAGAAAAGAGAAGCTTCACCTACAAGAACACTTTGAATTAATTCACCTAAGGAATGTAAATTTTCCAGCTAAACTCAGCTGCACTTTAGGTTTCCTCTAAAATGCTTATTTGTGGCTTTTCACCCCATCAGCCTTGTTGCTCAGAAACATGTCTGAGCAGTTCAAATAGTCTGAGCCTGTTTGGTTGGCCTGGTAACAGAAAGAGTACAACTTTGGATAGAATTAAGACCTTTTCAGCAGATGAGGTCACAGGATATTAAACTATGCCATCAAACTTAGCAGCCTGTCTACTGTTTCTATAAACTTGAGTAATTTTGCAGATCAATTCAAATACTGCATACGTTAAATTTTTGTCATCACTTTTGTTTTACTGAAGCATGGTGTTTAAGACCTGCTCTGTGAACAGAATTCATTTGCTGCATTTGTCAAGATATTTTCTTGATAAGAATATTTTCCCTCTTTGTCCGTTATTTGCTTGTATGACGCATTGTAGCACTGCTATAAAGTGCATTTCAGAGACCAGACAGGAATGTAAAACCAGTGCATCAAATAGTAAAATAATCCCTAATTTCCAGACAACGGTTTCTGGAAAATTTAATGCAAATTACTTTTGAAATGACAGTTCTTATGCACACAATCTTCTTCCTTAAAAGAAGTTACTTACATAGAAAGCATTCCATCAAATGTGAACAACTCACATTTTAGGAGATGCAGCCACAATAAATCCTGAAGTAATACAAATTAGAAAAAGAACAGCAGGACAATTTTCAAGCTAATTTTTATCTACTGATTCAGTATTTTCTCTATGCACTATTAGCCATCCAAGTTACAAAACACTTGAATTTTGAGGACTACTTGCCCAATAGTGCAAACACAATTTAGAAATCCTCTAAAAAATAAAAACTTTTCATTTTTCAAGCTGAACCACAGAAATTTAAACAAATAGCATAAAAACCAAATAACTACATTATGTTTAAAATTATAAAATTTTTACAATATTAATAAAGAAATGAACAGTATTTCAATTTAATTTGAAAAGGAATGTGATTACAATTCACTGCATATAAATAATTATAAACAATTAAAAACATCCCTTCCAGTTTGAGTTTCTTTGGTTCTACCCATTGAAGTATTGTCCTGGTATAACGCTATGTAGTAATAGGTGATACTACCATCTACTGATGAGAAAGGGTAAGAACTCAAGGTATCTTGCAGAAATGTAAACACTTATAAATTATGTCCTTTGTCATTTCAGATCTTGGACTTCTATTTCTTAAATATATATTTTTTTCTGTCATTAATTAGTTTAACACTAGTTCTCAGTTCAAGGAACAATAAGTAAGACTTACTCTGCTTTGATTTTCAGCATTTCTTCCACTGCTTTATTCTGTGAAAGTTCAAAAACATTAGATGCAGTCTTAATGTTTAATATAAACATATATATATATTTAAAAATATCTGTCACTTAATTGATGCTACATAGCTCATTCCAGATCATTGTTCTACCTAGTAGTTCACATCTCTAATACTCACTTTGAATTCATCTCTTTACTGTAGGCACTTATTTCCCATTTCATGCCAGCACAGCTGACCCACAGCAGGTCTCTCTGCCCACTCACACACAGCAGAGCTCTAACAGGGTCTCTTCTGTCTAGGACATCCATGGAAACCTCTGCTGTAACATTACCTTCCCTTTGACACAGCCCTGACATTAGCAAGTGACACAATCTTCACTTTCCTACTCTGGGGATGAGTCAGATTTAGCAATCTGAATCTGTTTTTGCTAATTGTGCAATCTGACACCCAGTTCACTGGTGTTAGGCCAAGATAGAAATCCTAAGAGCTAAGTGTCAGGCTGTGCCTGTTATAATTCACTAGAAATTGGTGTTTGTTTTGCTGCTATGAAAACAAAACCAAATCAAACAAAAAAAAATCATATTAATACTTCACAGCAGGTCAACAGCAACTGACATGAGAAGGATAACATACCTTGGCAAGTCGCTCTTCAGCAATCTCTTCCTCTTTCTCTTTAAGGTACTGAACATCAGGATGTTTCTGATCACTAGAAGTTCAAGAATGAGAAAAAAAGTTTCTCACAAACAGGAAACCAGTTGTAAAAACATGTTATCCAGATTAAACCAGTAAATGTGTGTAGTTTTTGCATGTATTCATATCAAAATACTGAACATTATG